AAGTTAAAGGAAACTCACCTGTCAATCTCACTGCTGGTTGGCCGGACCACCTTGGCCCCTGAGGACCCTAACGTGTAAGTCTCTTGGCCCATCGATCCGTGCCCCGTGGTGTCGATCACCATGGCCGTGACCTCCTCGGCGCTGCTCCCCTCTTCCCCCGACGGCTGATTCTCGGCCGCCAGCCACTCCTCCAGGTTCTCCGTTTTTATGCGCACGCCGCCCAGAACCCGGACGTCGTCGTCGGTCCGTCCCCCGCGCTCTCCCATGCCCGTCTCCACGTACCACTGTCCCGCTCTGTTAATGCGCAGGATGGGCTCCCTGCTCTCCACGTCCGAGCTCTGCTCAATTATCTGGGGGCTGGTGGACTCCTCCGGAGGGCTGAGCTCCCGGATGTCCAGCACGGTGCTCACCTGGCCCAGGCGGCTCCTTTTCGGGGTGTTGTGCCGGGGGCGCACCGAGTTCAGATTCGGCGTCACCCGGTGAGACTCCGGCGGTCTCTCCTGATGCTTTGTCCTGGTCTGGCTCAACTCTGCTTCCACCTCCGCCACGTTAATTTTGAAGTGAATTCCCTCAAGAATCTGCGTGCACTTGTCTATGATGTGCTGCATCTGCAAGAAACTGGCCGCCGTTAGGTAACTTATGATGTCAGCCAGCTGCAGGCAAATCCTCCCAGTGTAACAAAAGGAGAGGAGCTGCTCAAAAACGGAAGGGTTCTTGATGACAGAGATGGACACGGTGCTCATTTCGTTGAGGGACATGTGGTCGCGGAAGTAGGGCGAGCTGGCAGCCAGCACCACCTTGTGCGCGCGGAAGGCCTGTCCCTGCACGTTGACCACGATGTCGCACAGGCGGCCCTGCATGCGCAGCTGGTTCAGGTGGCTCAGCACCGAGTTGCTGAAGTCGGGAATCTCCAGCTGAATGTTCCCACTCTTCTCCATGGCGGTCCCGGCAGCAGCGCACAACCCTACTGAAAGAGGGGAGAAGCAAAACGCATCATTAACCAAGCTGGTTCGCTGCCTGCACCGAGAACATCTTTCATCTGCTTTCACTCAGTATGAAACACCGAGAGCTATTTCACTGCCTCAGTTGCAAGAGGCTTGCAGCAGTTCTCTGATCTTTCTGCTCTGCACATCACCCTGTACAAAACCCATAGGAAAACACCCCGATAGGTCCCCCTTCCCTGTGGCTTAACTGCTCTAAACAGCTCAGTTTTTGAGCCTCAGTAAAAGCATATTTTCATTGTAAAGAGAACATTAAAAATGGTTCAGATTCTAAAAATAGGTAACTGATTGCATAATGGATTAAAATACTTAGCACTGGTACCTTCTAAGCCCTTTGAAAGAGGCATATAATATTGTTATCCCTCGTTTGTAGGACAGGAATCAAGAAGGAGACAAATACTTCTCAGGAGCTAAATACTCTTCAGAGAGTTTTGGAAATCTGAGCAGCACATATTTGAACTTGAGATCTCCTAAGCACATCGTTTAAACCAAGATGTTCATCGTTTGTGGCACTTCTGACATGCAGCAGAAAACAGGAAAGAGGCCAAGGAAAGAATGCAGTTCTCAACAATGATTCCTTAGACCATTCCCTAGGCACAAATGATGCCAGAAGAAAAGAAGTAAACATTTCTGCAGTTTGAGATTTCGCATACAGCAAAACATGACTTAGGAATAATAGGGATCCACAAAGAAACTTACTAAGTTTCCCTTTCATATTTTTTTTTAATATAATCCTCACTTTTCATTTTGGCAAGGTCAGAAAATGAGCCTTGACCATATATGGTAAAAATTTGAAATGAGCCAAAATTAGATGCAAGCTCACCAAAAAAAAAAAAAGAAGAAAAAGAAAGAAGAAGGAAAAAAGCAAATATATTCATTAAAGATCACTCATGCCATGAAGAGCTTCCAAGCTGGATGGCATCTGAAGTGTTGATTAGGCAGAACACTGCAGACATCAAAACAATTTCAGGCAGTCCAGGAATATCCAGGCCCGTATTGAGTCTGCTTCGGAAGATGTCAGAACCAAAGGGATTAGCACATGCATGAAGTTAAGCACATATATATGTGTATATATATATGTGCCTTGGAAGGGCAGAGGCCTGGAGCTTCTACGTTTGTTTTTTTTTCAGAGGCTGCTGCAGGATTGTGCATGTTTACATGCCAAAGCAGACTTTGTGCAAACTTGGCAAAATATGTTACTAAACCTGAAGCTGCAGAGCAGCCTGTCAATCTCACAGATTGTGCAAAGGGCTCCGTCGGCAGCCCATGGCTGCTCGGCGAGCGGGCAGGCGAGGTGGGAAGCTGGGAGCTGCACGAAGCTTCCCGGGGCACAACTGAGCATTGCCACATCTCAACACATCCGCCCTCCCCCTGCCTTTGACAGGAAGAGGCTAGGGGAGAAAAACAAAAGAAAGAAGCACCAAAAAAATACCAAAATGGCAGAAGCAACCATAGTGCACATAAACCTATGTCAACACAACGTGAAGAGCAGAAGTTCAACCACGCAAAACCCAGCGAAAGTCTGATGCCTCACCTGTGACATTAATGGTAACATGCAAGGAGGGGAATGGGGCTGGTGTCCTTGTATCTTCCCGTTTTCTTCTGATGTAGTAAGAAGGTCTTCAAACTTTTTGCCCCCTTCCCCTTTAGGAAAAAGAAAAAAAACATAGCATAGAGGAACACAGTTCTCTTTACAGGCACAGGGCTGCCAAGTTGTGTCACTCATCATTTGCCTCAGGACTATTAGCAATATTAGCTCTCACATGCCGTCCCGTCCCACCCCTAACCACAGAGGCAAGGAGATACCACATCTTACAGGGCGAGATTTCCCACCGTCTGCTCAGGCTTTTCATTATATATCTGGTCACTAAAACAAGAAAATGGAAAGGCAAACAACCTGAATAACTTATTTCCTCTGTTACCTGGCTGGTATCTCCGGGCCTCCCCCCACAGGCATTTAAACACACACATAGTTTTACTCAAGTGAGCCATTTTACGGTATCAGCGGGACCACTCACACGCCTAAACCACGCTGGGTATTCACGCCCGCTCACGAGACGAGGACCTTAATCTCCCATCTTCCCCGCGGCCAGTTTCCAAGTCGATAAGATCCGCGCATTCCCTCGCTCCAGGCAAACGAGCCGAGAGCTGCTCGCACGCGCAGCACCGCGAGGAGGCCCGGCCGCGAGCTCCCCGCACGTACGCAACGAGGGGGAAAGAAAGAGAGCAAAAAAAATCCGCTGCGAGCTACTGACACCGAGGGCATGTGGCCACGGTCAGGAGTCCCTGCTCCCGAGGGAGCCCGGAAACTCCGTGAGCCTTCCCTGCTGCTGGTCCAAAGGCAGGGAAAACTCCTGCCTCTAAGTGCAGAGAAAAGAACCTGCAAAGGTCTGGTTACCTCGATACCCAAGCAGGGATGTTTTATGGTGTGTTTTGGGGACAACCTACTTAAGGCACTGGCAAGCGGGTAATCCTCCTTTTCGCTTTGAACACCTCTCTTATCAGGAAACAGATTCTCTCCACTTGGCATTAGGTCGCCACCTCAGCTGGCACCGCAAGGAGATCCCAGCTTCTGCTGGTGCGGGACCGCGCGTTCACACTCCTCACCCGCGGGACGAGCGGCGTCTCCGGCCGAGCAGCGCTCCTGGCAGAGAGCCTGGCGAGACACCCAGCTGCTTCTAACACAGCCTAAAGCACCAGCCTTGGACCTCCCTCGCCCTTCGCGGGGACAGCGGCCAGCAGGGATCCCCGTCCACAGCTGGGGGCACCGACATCCACCCTGAGTGTAGCCGTGGGCAGGAGCTTTGGAGGGGGTTTTGTAAGGACTGAACGAACGGAAAGGCCTTGGGGTTTGGCATGGGAACAGCCACTGCTCAGGCTCAACCTGCCTGCTTCAAGCTAAGGATCTCAATAAACATAATAAGAGATTCTGCTCCAAACTGCAACGGAGGCTGCTGCCGTCCTCAGCCATCTGCTCCTCTGCCCCC